TTTTTTAGGGAATTGTATTGAGGAGTGGGTTAGTGGTGGCAGAAGAAAAAGAGAAAACAAACTAAACACTGCTGTGGCTGGCAAAATAAACCTCAAGGGCTCTCAAGGCTGCAGGAATGGAGAGGGAAAGTCTTTTTTTTTTTTTTTCAAAGAGAGAGAGAGAGAAATTTTAATATTTATTTTTTAGTTTTCGGCAGATACAACATCTTTGTTTGTATGTGGTGCTGAGGATCGAACCCCGGCCACACGCATGCCAGGCGAGCATGCTATCGCTTGAGCCACATCCCCAGCCCCAGAGGAAAAGTCTTAATTGGAGTAGGAATGTCCTGTGAGGTATTTGTAATAGGTACATTTAAACAGAAGAGGCTAGAGCGGCCAGAGCAGGATGGATGACACCACAAAAAGCCAGAAGGCAGTTGACGCCAGCAGGAGAGAGAGCTTGAGGAGGCCTGTCCTACTCGGCCAGTGGGTAGGATGGAGGGCTGGGGAGTGCAGGAATGTGGGAGTGAGTGGGGTTGGCATGAGGAGCGCCCGGAGATGGGTGGAGCAGGCACTTGCTGTCCTAGGACAGTGGTCTCCAAACGTTACCGCATGTTTCCTAAACCATCTGAAAACTCTGTGTCACACATACATTGTCAAGTTGATACCCAGGATTTTCCAAGGTTATATTCACAAAGTATGTAATTTTCAGTGTATTTCAAATATTGATATTGTAAAAATAACAGTAGTGTCCCTTTGAAACGGGATGTAAACTCCAGAGCGGGTTCAGGAACATTTCTGCCTACCGTGTTTACCGTCCCCAGCACACTCCCTGCTTTGCCACCTCCCGTTGTTCTCTTTCTTCTTGACCCCTTCCCACCCACTCACACTCTGACCCTAATCTGCTTAGGCCGAGACTTGTGATTGCCTACCATGTTTATTTGTACCAAAAATAGGTATACAGAGGAAAATTTAACATTTGAATGTCCTTGTAGCCATTGAACTTAAAATTTCTTTTTATTAAGCTTCCATTACTACTAAGTTGATCATCCAGAACATATACAAATTACACATAATTTTGTTGAAAGCAAAATTTTATTGAAAAGTCATCTAATGGATAAGATTTTTAAAAAATTAATTATGAATTGATAGATGAATAGGATTTACTGTTTAGAATGAGATAATATTTAGCATCAGTTTTTAACTTCACATTTTAAGGGTTATAAGCACTGAGAAATTGTATTGATATAAATAATGTGATGGGAATGGGAAGGGCTTTTTTGAACCTCTAACTTTGGTGAATAATAATTTTGAGAAGAGACTCACGTAAGAGGGATCCCAGCAGTTTGGGAGGCCAAAACAGAGGGATTACAAGTTCAGAACCAGCCTTGGCAACTTCTCAAGACCCTGTCTCAAAAAATTTTTAGAAAGGTTGGGCACTGTGGTGCACTCCTGTAATCCCAGCAGCTTGGGAGGCTGAAGCAGGAGGATCATGGATTCAGGTCAGCCTCAGCAACTTAGTGAGGCCCTTAGCAATGCAAGCAAGACCCTGTCTCTAAATAAAACATAAAAAGAGACTGAAGATTTGACTCAGCAGTTAAGCACCCCTGGGCTCAATCCTCAGTACCAAAAAAAAAAGACAACCCAAAATGTAGCTCACAGATAGGGCACTTTTAGGTTCATCTCCCACCCACCCACATACCCACACATAGGAGCAAGAGAGAACGGGGCAGAGTAGAGCTGTCTTGGCACCTTTGCGCAGTTGCTTCAAGGACCAGTAGCTTGGGCTATAAGTTCAGTGTGACAGGAAAAAGCCCTGTGCCCTCTGTTGCTCCAAGTGTAGCATAGATGGCAGTGTTCATGAGTGCTGTGCCCATTTTTCATGTCACCTCTGTAGCACTGTTTCTGTAGTTGAGTCAGAAATAGTGGATGAAGTAGGTGAGACGTAAGAGCCGTGAGTGTTGGACAGAAGCCCGTCATGCCAGATGAGGAGACTGCAGGGACTGAAGCTGTGAGGGCAGACCCCCTTTGGCACCCGTGCTCCTCTTGCTCCTAAGCACATGCACCATTAGTGAGATGGGGCAAGTGTCCCATTTTCTCCTTTGTTCTCATGGTAGCTGGCATCCCTTCTCCCCCACTTGGCATTGTGGAGTACACAAAGTGTGTGTGTGGTAGGAAGGAAAGTGGATTTGTTGATGCAGCTCTGGGCACTTTTAACAGAATGGATTGGAACCATCTTCTAAAAGAACTCTTAAGATTTAAAAATGGTGGGTTGAAATTTTTCACTGAGTGAGCATAGCACCAGTTTGAATTTGTCATCTATCTGGGCATGTTTGGCAAGGGAGAGAAAGAGGCATGCTCATGCAGAGCTGTGGTGCTGCTGATGGTGTGTGTTCCGCGGGGGTGGGAGGGTGGTGGGGGAGTCAGGCCTTCCTGAGGTCCTGCCTTCCGCCCTCTGCTGCTTGGCAAGGCCGTTGGAAAGGAGTGTTGGGAAATGAGGTCTGGAATCCTTTTGGAATGTGGTGGAAAGACAGTCATCTGGCTTGGAAAATACATAATCTTTGTTTAATTTTTAAAAAATAAGAGATGAAGGGAAGGAGAGGAGAGTTAGGATCAGGAAGGACAGTGGAATCAATCTGATAACTTTCCTGTGTACATATATGAATCCACCACAGAGGATCACCAACATTTATATCCACAAGACTAGGATCCTAGTAAGATATAAGATATCAAGCAAGACCCTTCAGGCTTGTATTAATGTATCAAAATAGATTCTACTGTCTTGTGTAACTAAAAAGAACAAATAAAAATAATGCAACTGAAAAAAGTGGTGATTTTAGTGAAATTTTATCTTAATTGAATACATGTGTTATCCAGAATTGTCTATTGCTCAAAAAAGGTTGACATTAGTTAAGTTGTTGCTTAGAAAAAATCTATACCAACTTGTATAGGGAATGTTAAAAAAGAAAGAAAAAAAAATCTATACCAAATTCCTTGTAATTTTTCAAACATGAAATGGTTCTCCTCGACTTTCTTGGACTTTCTCTGTTTAGAATGTTTTCCTCCTGCCCTCTGTCCTGTTTGGCAAGCTCTAGTGTATCTTCCAAGAATTGTCTTGACTTGGAAACCTTCTCTAACTCAGTATTCATTTTAATTCCTCTGTTGGCTTTCTAGTTGTACTTCTTGCATGTTTTAGAGATTAGTCCTAAGATTGCAATCTGCATCTCTAATTCATTGAAATTAACATGTACTTTGAATAAGCTGCAGGGACCTTACTACAAATGGTGTCTTCCCTCTGTGCTACACAAGGCTTCCTTCCTTCCTTAAGGCATGTGTGCTGCAGAGTTTTTTCAGTGGTGACGATAGTTTTTAAATTGCTTATTTCTGAATTTCTCTTTGTAACCTGGGGCAGATGTTTGATTGAGGCTGGGTAAGACTTACAGGTACATTCTGTAGCAGTGGTGATCAAAGCCTGTGGACTCCATAGGGGTGAGGTCCATAGTCTTAGTCAGCTTGACCTAGGACAGGAAGGATGTCAAGCCAGGGTGATTCTGTGATTCTGTGGATGTTGGCAGGGGCAATGTATTGGGAAGTAGAAGTAGACCTTTGTCACCAGGGTCTGTGCCAGAGTGGAACGCTCCTGTATAGAAGAGTGGTCAACCATGATTGACAGACTGTGACAAAAAGGTTGAAGCAAAGCACAATTCTGTTACATCTAGGAGTGTGTTTCTCAAATGTAGTTGAGCAGTTCACATTTGAATTTAATGGGGTATTTATTAAAAATAAATGCTCAGGGCCTCACTGTGAAGCCACACAATCAGTGTGTGGGTCTCAGAATCTGCATTTAAACACAGTGATGCTGACAGTGGTTGCTGGAGGCGGCTTCCTCACTGCCACCACCACCACCACCACCCCCCGTCCCGGCTTATGACCAGAATCAGTGTTATTAATGTTTGTCTTTAACACATGTGAGACTCTGATGAAACAATTTGGTCATAGTCATAGAATTCTAGAGCCTGCATAAAGGTGCCTTTGACGTCATGCTGGCTCCACAGTCTTAGGTACAAAGGAGGAAACTTACCTGAATGAGTGTGTCTGAGTGGCCTTTACAACTCTGATTCATAATGCTGGTACTTTGCTGTGAGTTGCAGATCAGAAGCTGTGTAAAATTTACCGTAAGTAATGATGAACACAGTTAGGGATTATTCATAACCCAGTGTGACAATCACTGTTTTTTCATTGGGGTATTTAGACCATTTGTACTTAACGTACTTAATGCTAAGATTGGGCTTAAATCTCTCATCTTGCTCCCCTGTTTGTCCCTCTCTTACTTCTTTCCTTTATCCTTTTTTTCTTTTGGGTTGAGTTTTTACAGTCGTTATTGACTGGTTAGCTGTTGTCTTTGTTGATTTTGTTTGGAGTTTGTGACTGGCACGGGTCCTTAACTTGACCATCTGCCTTCCCGGGGCACTGCTCTTCACAGAGGCGAATGGTGCTCTGCTTCACCCCGCTGCTGCCCTTCCCCTGCTGGAGCTGCTTTACCTCCACTGGCCTTGAGCTCCACAGGGCATTTCTATCTGTTTACTTGACAGTACATATTTTTGCCTTAAACGCTTATCTTAATTTAAGAGATTTCAAAAATAAAGAAGCTTTTTATTATTTTTAATTACCCACATATTAACCATTTCTGATACTCTTTGCTCCTTTAAGTAGATCCAGATTTCCTTGTGATATTATTTTCCTTTTGCTTAAAGAATTTAAATGTGTCTAATGGTGTATGTCTGTCATTGAGGACATCAGCTTTTGCATGTCTGAGAAGAGTCAATTTTGTATTTGAAAGGTTTCTGTTTGTTGAGTATAGAATGGGGAAGTTGGTATTGTCTAGTAATATATATATATATTTGGTATCAGGGATTGAACCCAGAGGTGCTTAACCACTGAGCCACATCCCCAGCCTTTTTTCATATTTTATTTAGAGGCAGGGTCTCACTAAGTTGCTTAGGGCCTTCCTAAGTTGCTGAGGCTGGCTCTGAACTCCGTGTTCCTCCTGCCCCAGCCTCCCTAGCCGCTAGGATTACAGGTGTGTGCCACTGCACCTGGCCTGTTGTCTGTTGCTCTGCCATCTGGCTTATCAATAAGTAATCTGTCATTCTTTGTTCTATAAATAAAGTGAGTTTTCCCCTCGTTGATTAAAAGTATCAAAAACTATTTTCTTATGGCTAGTTTTGTTTGTTTGTTTGTATAAACCATTTAAAGTGTTAGGGTCAGTTTGGTCCTAGATGATCCACCTTAGTCAGAAGTAGAAGAGCATGTTTGGGTGTTTCTTTAAATACAAAAGCTGTCTTCATTTTAGCAAACTGGAATAGTTGGAAGTGGCAGTGCTGCCTTTTGTAGTGGCTTTCTGATGGCATTTTCTTGGGGGTGGAATACTTCTTTTAGTGCACTGCTCAGAGTACAGTGCCACAAGATGGGCCCATTCCATGTACTCACTCACATTTTAAAGAGGCCTTTTTTGGGCCATACTGGGGATTGAACCGATGGGCCGCACTCCATCACTCACTGAGGGTGTGCCCAGTCGGAGCAGTGACAGTGGGGTCTAATTGGGACATGAGAGGCCTTTTCTATTCCTCATGTGGCAGCATTGTGGTGCTTCTCATGTTGTGGTGTTTTTGCTTTCCTGAGCAAAGACCTGGAGCAAAGATAAAATCTGGTTGTGAGTGATGAACAGATTGGTTGCAGAAAAGCTTAAGTGTTTCTTTGTGCCAGGAAATATTCTTGGAGATAAAGCAGTGAATAAGGTGAAAATTCCTGTCCTCCTGGAGCCCATATCTAGCTCTGCAGAGACAGATGGAAAGTTAAGGCAAGCCAGCACATCGGAGGTGGTGACAGGCAGGAATGGAGGGTGTTAATCACCGTGGAGGGGGATGTCTGGGAGCGCTTGTGCTTCAGGCAGGGCCTGACGACCTGGTGTTGGGAGCTCTTACTGGAATCTCGAGCTTCCATCTCCTTCAGCCTCAAGATTCTCCCATCAGTTATATTCCCTTTTCCCCAGCACTTGGATTTATATTTATTTGTTGACTATTTACTTTTATCATATAAGCATGTTTCAAATCTTTCTCTTTTTAAAATATTAGAAACTAAACAAAATAAAAAGTAATCTTCGTTGAGCCTTGGGTGTCCTGGCTAATTGTTCTATAGCTACAGTTCCGCAGGGCACCTTTTGAGCTGGTTGTCTTCCTCTGTATATTGTTTTTCTCAGCCATGACTGTGGTCTGGCTCCTCCACTTTGATAGCACAAGAATCACACCTGATAGGTGACAGTACCATATTCAATGGGCAGGTGCCAGTTAGTCGTGCCTTCAGATTCTGTCTGCCTGGTGTCTTTGAAGCCCTTACCTTCTGCTAGTTTCATCCATTCTCTTCTGGTTCTCCCTCCTCTTCTGGCAGTGTAAGCAGTTTCTGGCCTTGCAGTCAGTACCTGCCTTCTTTGTGATGCATTTTAAAGTAGGTAGTCTTCTCAGAGGCACATCAGTGCTTGAGGGCAGAAGCTATGGTGTTTCCATGGTCATTTCCTCAGCGTAAACCTGGTCCTGGGCATAGGCTGTTCAGTGAGCTCTTGTTTAGTGACAGTAAGTACACTGCTGGTTTTAGCTTACCTCTAGTGAGCGAAGTCCTCAGCTGTACCTTTGGCTATGGAATCCACCATATCCCGTTTGACTGTGTGTGTATCACTTCCAAGTACACATGTTCCCATCGAGCATGTAAGTCCTTACACCTGTGGTCCCTGTTCCCTCCCGTGATCTGTAGCTGTTGGCCTTGTATTCCCTGTGGCTGCGGTGGTGAGATGGCATCTGGAGAAAGAAGGGGTACCCTTCAGCTTCTGGTGCTGCTGGCTTGATGCCGAGGGTCCCTTGGGATCCTCCTCACCACTCCAGCGGTGTGTGTGCTGCACACAGGTGAGGGGTGCTTGTGGTTTCCGAGTGTGTAAGGAGTATTTCTGATGTCTCTGATAGTTGGTGTGGATGACTACAGCTCAGAGTCTGATGTGATTATTATACCTTCAGCCCTGGACTTTGTCTCACAAGATGAGATGTTGACGCCACTGGGGAGACTGGACAAGTATGCTGCAAGTGAGAACGTGTTCAACAGGTGTGTGCACCTTCTTTCCATTAACCTGAAAGTGGAGGTGGGGGGTTGTGTCAGCAGGGAGGACAGCACACCCAGCCTGCAGTATAATGTGCACAGTCCGAGCCACCAGGCTACAGGGATCACATTGTCCTGACCTGTGCTGTAGGTGTTACTCTTGATCCTGGGACACACACAGTGCTCTTGCTTTGCTTTTTGCCAAGACCAGACCGGCTTGCCGCTGGCATGCTCTGGAATCCTGCAGGTTGCTTACTGGGAGTCATCATCACCAGACCACGTAGCCTGCTCTGTGCCAGTTGGTACTCAGGGCACCGGCCTAGCCCTGACTGCCAGCGAGCACTCTTTCTTGCACTTGCTTTGCCTACCTGTGCTGTCCAGACCGCTTCGCCAAACTTTTCTGGGAAATGAAGAAGTCCTTGTCCGAATTTTTGAACATAGATGTACAAAATCCATGCTAGTAAAGATATTATTTTACGTAATGAAGACTGAATATATTTTCTTATTGTTAGGATAATCGAAGGATAGCTGAAGTGAATTTTCAGTTGACTTTAGAAATTTGCCATTCTGTTAAAGATGAAAAATATTGGGAAATATTCATTCTCATCTATGAAATGAATACTGGTATTTACCACTTAGGAAATTACAGGTTTCATATGTTCTAAAATGTAGTAAGAAAAAATTGCTTATTGAAACCATACGGATTCTGTCTTTTAAGATTCTAAATAATAACTATTGATGCCTGAACACTATGTGCTTCTCTTTTTCTGTGTAGACAAATGGTGGCCCGGAGCCTGCTGGATACACTGAGGGAAGTGTGTGATGATGAAAGAGATTGCATTGCTGTCTTGGAAAGGATTAACAGATTAGCTGACGACTCAGGTATGTTTGTGTATGCAGAGGAAACAGACATAGGTTATCTAGAAAGGTTTCTTTTACCAAATTTGTGTTTCTAAAACTAATGGAAAAGTTAAAGTGATATGAGATTTCGTTAGAAGATTTCCTAAGTAAATTATCAAACCCACCAGTAACAAGAAAAAAAAGTCCATTACTAAGTTCATACTGGACCCATTTACTTAACTTTGGACATTTCTTATCAAAATAAGAATTTTTTTTTTTTCAAGAGTGTGTCTCTCTTTTTTTTTTTTTTTCTGAGAGAGAGAGAGAGAATTTTTTTAATATTCTTTAGTTTTCAGCGGACACAACATCTTTGTTTGTATGTGGTGCTGAGGATCGAACCCGGGCCGCACACATGCCAGGCGAGCGCGCTACCACTTGAGCCACATCCCCAGCCCCAAGAATATTATTTTGCATCATGTCTTAATATTTTTAAATTAATGAAATGTTAAAAAATAATTTAGAATAAATTAAAAGAGATAGAAGGTGCTGTAAAATTTTTGGGCAAATGTAAAATACCCTTCGTAAAACTAAGGCTGGTGTATTTTACGGTAAAGACAGGAGTTTGCACAAGAGGCGAATTTGATTGGAGCTTTAGAAAATAGTGATGCTGAAATTTTTCAAAATATGTTTTGTATTGTGATAAGATATACATAACATAAAGCTTACCATTTTAAGTAAATACTTAGTTTTAAGTAGTTTTTATATTTGATTTTACAAACAATCCAAAAGTAAATTTTAAAACTTAAAAAAAACTATGCTATCATTTTTAATTTCTGACAAACTTTTTTGGTGTCTTAAAAGTTTCATCTTTTAATTTTTAGATGAGCTCTACTTAATGAGGATATTTTAACTATTTACATAAGTATTACATTAAAAAATTGTCTTATTGGGTGGAAAGAACATTTTTAAGCTTATTAATAATCTGTGTATAGATTGTTCTTATGTGCTTGCCTTAGGGTGGTGTTAGGAGGCTCTCATTAAGTGTCATTTTTAGTTATAATTTTCACTGAAATGAAATAGTTTTGAGACAGGTTGTGTTGACTTTGATAGAAAGCTGAGATACAGAGAGGGGAAGGGGTGCAGAGTTTTGAAAAGTGGAGGTGGTAGCCCCTGGTCCCCAAGGAGGAGCTTGCTAGTCTGCAGCCAGCAGGGGAGGCTGTTCAGAGGGAGTTGGAGCCCAGCTGGTGGAAGAGTGGGAGGAAGGGAGCACTAATTGGGTAAGTGGTCAGAAAAGATGCAGTGCTGGGAGTGTTTCCCAGGCTGCCTCCCTTAGTTTTGTGTGTGTGATTTTATTTTTTAGTTTCTGGTTTGCATAGGTGTTTTCCACATGGTTGAGGATGTAACACTCTACGTAGTTCAGTGTGTTGCTTTCCCATGGGTTCTGACTGTTTGACTTTTTAGTCCTGTGTCTCCCATCTGCACTGTGACAACGTCTTTCAGCAGAGTCTCTTCCAATTGCTGTCCAATTGGAATGTTTCATTGCTGTTAATTCCATTTTCTCATTTTCAGGAGACTTGGTACTTCTTCTCAGGACCCTGTTTTTCTTGTCCTATTGATTACATTCTCTTTTCAGTTACACTTCCTTTCATCATGTTAGCCGAGTGTTTGAAATGGTGAAGGCCTCTGCAGGTTGCTTGTGTAGCTGCAGTGCTTGGTGCTACTATCCTTCTGTTGTGTCTTCATCGCTTTGCCATTGAGGGATCATTTTGTTTTTATAGTTTCTGATTGTGAGTTCCTCATTAATGGGTCTTTGTAGGGATCTGGTGCTGTGGTTTGACCTTCATTGTGGCATTGTCACTCATGGTTCAGAGCTGTGCTGCCAGGCCCAGGGTCCTTAGCAGCTAGGAATCACTCTGCACTGATTCTGTGGTGTTGTGTGTATGAGATAAATATGTTTATTCTGGGTGGGGAGCAGCAGTTCTCATTCTGTGCCTGCATGTATGAATCTGGAATCCAGACCAGTCCAAAGCACATGTCCAGGGTTTTAGAAATAACACGTTTAGAGCAGATTTTTGTTGTTGTTGTTGTTTTCAATACCTAGAGTAACACACTACCAAAAGAAAAAAACTGTTAGTATCCTAGAAACTGCCTCAGTGTATCCTGCTAATTTCTGTTTTGCCCACTTTCCTAAAGATAGGCACCATCTGACCACTAAGGGCATTGATTATTTTGTGTCTGGCCTCTGTTTCTGAAGCTCCTCCATGTTGCTGCTTGTGACTGTTGTGGATTTTTTTTAACCAGTGGTGTGCTCTGCGAGTACACTGCAGCTAAGTGCCACTGTGGTTGGAGTGGGCGCGTGGGTTGCCTCCAGAATAGGTTAGTGCTACTTTGAACACAGGCACACATCTCCGTAGATACATAGAAACGGAGTCACTGGGTCATAAGACATGCATAGCCTCACCCTGATGGAAGTGCCCTGGTGTTTTCCAGAGTAGCATAGCTGTCTACAGATTGCTGGGCATGTGTTCAGTCTGAGCCTGCAGCATCACCTGTTTGCGCAGAGTTCGGGTGTGTGAGGGCATGCTTTAACTTGCATTTCTTTAGTGACCTGTGAAGTTGAGTGCTGGTTATGTGCTTACTGGCTAGTTGGACACCTTGATTTTTGTAATATAAAGTCTCTTCCCCTTTATTTAAATTGGCAGGATTTTTCTTATAGATTTTTTCCTTATAGATTTATAAAGTGAATCTTTTTCCTTCAGTGCTGGGGATGGAACCCAGAGCCTCATACATGCTAGGCAAGTGCTCTAACACAAGCCACATCCCCAGTCCTGAAATTCTTTATACCCATTATGTATCCTTAGGCCATTTATGTGTCTTAGAGGTATCTTTTCTCCTCTGGCTGACCTTTTACTCTTAAATAGTGCCTCTTAAAGAAGAGAAGTCCTAGGCTTGCCTCGCCTGCATGAGGCCTGGGGTTCAATCCAGGGTACTGGGGAAGAAAAAGTTCTTTTTTATGGGCTTTCTATTTATGTGCTCTTTGAGAAGCTTATCCTGACTCCAAAGTCATGAGAATATTTTCCTATGTTGTCTAATACAGAAACTTTACCTTTTTTTTTTTTGCCTTTGATACTTAGATTCATATTCCACATGTAATTTACTCTTTTTGACATGTTTATCATGTATAGTATTTATCACGTAAATACAGTGTTTATTTTTATGTATTTTAGGAAACAGAGAACAAACTTTGTTTTATCGTTGTTGGTTTGGGTACCGGACTGAACTCAGGGATGCTTAAACCCTGAGCCACATCCATCCCCAGCCCTTTTTAAAAATATTTTATTTTGAGTCAGGGTCTTTTCTAGTTGCTTAAAGCCTCACTAAGTTGCTGAGGCTGGCTTTGAATTTGCAATCCTCCTGCCTCAGCCTCCCAAGTCACTGGGATAACAGGTGTGTACCATTGCACTCAGCTGTAATGAAGTTTTTATAAAGTGAATTAGTTGATTTTTTAGTTAGTTCTTTGGTAGTGTTTGCTTCTCCACCTTAAGACTGTACGTTTCTTCTAATATTATCTTTTAGTCCTTTGAGTTTTCTTCCCTCCCAAGTTTGAAACTTGTATTTCATCTGGAGTTTATGTGTAGTGTGCAGAAAGAGTAGGAATCTAACAGGCATAGTGGCGCATGCCTGTCATTCCGGTGGCTCAGGAGGCTGAGGCAGGAGGACCACAAGTTCAAGGCCAGCCTTACCAATTTATTGAAGCCCTGAGCAACTTAGCAAGAAGACCATGTCTCAGAATAAAAAATACAAAGGTCTAGGGATGTGGCTCAGTGTTTGAACACCACTGGGTTCAATACCCAGTACTGAAAAAGAAAGGAATTATTGTATGCTTGGTACATGCTATGAAATGTAGCACCTGGGTCTGGGTAGATCCCTCCTTTATTCTCAGTGGACCTGCTAGTGGTTGGAGGAGGACTGCAGGGTGAAAAGATGATTTTGTAAGTCCTTTCCTTGCTAAGGATGAAAGTGCAAAGACAGCTCACTTGTTCACCTTGCTGTTATTTCAACAGAACCAACAGTGCGAGCAGAGCTGATGGAACAGGTGCCTCATATTGCATTGTTTTGTCAAGAAAATCGCCCTTCCATACCATATGCTTTTTCCAAATACTTACTACCTATTGTGGTCAGATATCTTGCAGATCAGAATAATCAGGTAAGAGTTCCATTTATTTGATCTTAAAGGAATTTTATGTAGCTTAATGTATGTAGAATAGCTCAGCCTGGGTTTTCATTGGATTATTTTTCCTAATTTTATTATTTGTGTTTCAGAAATGCCCAGTTATTTTAGATAAGACATTGTTGAGAGTCAGAGTGCGTTAGGTCTCTTGAATGCCCTTCTGCCTAGTACTTGTTCTCACTTGGTACCTTCCCAGGTGTTTGTCAGTGCACCTTTGTGACATCTTTACAAGGATGGCTTTTGTGTTCCACTGTTACAACATAGTCTATCACATCGTCTTTGTAATAGTTGAAGAAAATAGCTAAAAATTTTTTTTGCGAGTATGTCTTCCTTTAAGTTTATGAGAAGTCTTCACATTTGTAAACGTGGAGTGGTCAAGTTTTGTCACATCAGGCACATGTTTGTCTTTATGGTTTGCCCAGGTGAGGAAGACAAGCCAGGCAGCGCTGCTGGCTCTGCTGGAGCAGGAGCTGATTGAGCGATTTGATGTGGAGACCAGAGTATGCCCGGTGCTGATAGAGCTGACTGCCCCAGACAGCAATGACGACGTGAAGACGGAGGCCGTGGCTGTAAGTGGTACTTGTTTCCGTCTAGGCAGAGGTACCTGTAGAGTGCCCATCAGACCTTGGCTGCTTTGTCTCATTTAATACATGATTATTAAAGTAGCTGCCAACTGCTAAGGGACATATATAATGACTGAGGAAACAGGTGTATCTTCATACAGTAAAGTAGTAAGTTACCGTAAACTCGTTGTGTCAAATGGGAAAATAAGATGGTTATCACAGAGTGCAGTTAAATTTTTAAAAAAAAAGTAGTAAAGGAAGAAACACAGGGAGCCCTCCCTTGCTGGGAGCCTTTCTCCAGGCACTCTATAAGGACGTGCTTGGCTCCTACCCGTCAGGGAAGGACAGCCTGCCCGGGCCTTGGCTGGGATGCATGCCGTCCCTGGCTAGTGCTACTTCTATGCCGTGGTTGCTGCATCTCATTATTTTGTTTTTAAATACTCACCAGCTAGTAATGAACTCATTTTTTCTCAATTATATTTATTCACATAATAATCATTTTAAAGTGTGTAATGCAGTAGCAGTAGCATTTAGTACATGTGTGTAGCAGTAGCATTTAGTACATGTGTGTAGCAGTAGCATTTAGTACATGTGTAATGCAGTAGCATTTAGTACATTCACAGTGTCACACAACATCCACCACTACCTATTCCAAAGCATTTTTTTCCTTCCTTCAGAGTTCCTCAGTGAAGGACATCAGTCTTGGTGTGACTATTGGCTCACATGAGCAGGGTGTACTGAGTCATGATTTTTGATGGGATCTAGAATCAGGAGATCATTATGATTTGAGGACTGTCTCCAGCACTGGTAGGAATCCTGTGCTGGCCTCTTCAGACTCACTCACTCCTGCTTAGTTGTCAGGTTTTACATTTCCTGGCTCCCAGTTATTCTCTTTTAGGAATGATTCATTCTAACAAATTCATTTGTCCTAGATGAGTAGTGATACAGTGTAACCTGGGGTTTCTATCCAAAGTTTGGGTTGGTGATTCTTGTTTGAGAAACAAAGCTGGCCGTGGCCTCTAGGAGTCGCAGGCATTATCTCCAGTTCTGATGATATTGGGATTTTGACACAGGAATTATTTCATATAGATCAGTTTGGGAAGAATTGCTAGCCTAACAATCCATGAATATGATAGATCTGTCAATTTACTGAAGCATTTGATTGACCTGGTCAATATAGTTATCAGCAGAAGATCTTGTATTTTGTTAGATTTCATGTCTTTTTAACATTGTGAAAGATGATGTTTTAAAGGTGCCCAGTCATTCTTTGTAATTTGTAGAAGAAATACAATAGATGTTTGTATTCTGACATGTGTCCTACAAACCACGCCTTAAGTGGTGTGAGTGGTGCTTGTTTCCGTCTAGGCAGAGGTGCATAGTTGTCATACATGACAACTATCATATGAATAAAGAGTTTTCTGTCTTTCCAATATCTACCTTTTACTTTTTGTCATGTTTGTAGTGTCAGAGGGGATTTCATTGCTAAATGATGATAGACCATCAAGTTTCTTTCGGTGTCAACTTCTATAGTGGAAAGTTCATTTTCTTTCTTTTTAAAAAAATCTTTATTTTATTTATTTTTTTATGTGGTGCTGAGGATCGAACCCAGTCCCTCACACATGGTAGGCAAGCACCCTACCACTGAGCCCCAGCCCCAGCCCAGAAAGCCCATTTTTGAATCAGGCCTCACTTTGGTTGGTGTTCTGTGTCAACTGAAACATGCATATTGGGACTGTCCTGGCTTTCCTTGAAGCACACATTACAGAACAATGATGAGTCCAGCATCCAAGACCCTCTGTGAACACAGTGCTTGGCAGCGCGAGAGCTGCCTCTAAGCCTTCCTTAGTAACACACAGGTGCTTAGCACCCAGTCCTGCTGGGACAGTCTCCCTGTTGGACAGTCACCCTTGTTTTTACTAGGAAAATGTAGGGTGTTTTATTTTTTAAACTTGTAAAGATTAAAATGATTAGGTATTTAAATAACAATGATGAAGTAATATGGATGAAAATTAAAGTTTTAAAATTTTCTATGGGATTATTGTATATTTAGTATTTGTTGGTTAATTTTATCAATAATGGTTAATACCTGTTTTTCTGTTTCCTTTTGGATAAATAGATTGGAATTATCATTTGCTTTGAATATTCTTTATGATGTAATCAGTATAATGATGTCACATCATTTTATATTTTCTTACATCATTTCTTTTTTTTGGTTATCAAACTTAACTGAGAAAGTCTTTCTTTTTATAGATATTTCCAGTGTGTCTTTTCTTACTTTATAGATAATGTGCAAGATGGCGCCCATGGTTGGGAAGGACATTACGGAACGTCTCATCCTCCCCAGGTTCTGTGAGATGTGCTGTGATTGCAGGATGTTCCATGTGCGGAAGGTAGCTTTATAGTCAGTTGTTTTCTGTTTAAGAATGCATAGTTTTAGCGGTTAACATATTGATATGTGAAATTTAATGGATTATTTTTAGGGAACTCTGTCTGCGGTATATTGAAATGTCACCAATGCTTTTGTTGTCAGGTCTGTGCTGCCAATTTTGGAGATATCTGCAGTGTAGTTGGCCAACAAGCTACCGAGGAAATGTTGGTAAGTATCACAAATATAGAAGAGTAAATGGTGTGTTACAGAGTAGCATGTGAAACTTGAAATGGAAGCATTTGTCCCAAAATTTTATTAACACAATCCCATGAATGTAAACCAGGAAGATGATCATGACTTTGAGTTTAGATGTCTTCCCTCCTAGAATCTGGGCATTTAAATTGTGTTTTGGTAAGAATAGTTTGTTAAAAAATTTAAATACATGTGACAGTCTTCAATTCATTGTTACCATTCCCATTTCTATGAAGTAAATCAATTCTAGTTTATTCCGTTGAATTAATTTTATTATGGTCCTCCAATATTTTGGTGGCATCTTAAATCTACAGATTAGTTTTAGACAGTAGTATGCGAGATGTGTGTGCTCCAGGTTCACGTGGCTTATTTCTGGAAGGATCTATCGTGCAGAACAAGCCCTGAGATAATAGCTGCATTTGTCGAGTGTTTTGGGGTTTGCATAGTCAGTTATGAATTAGATGTGATTTATTGAAAATTACTGAGTATTAATATTAAAAAATTGGTACTTTTTAAGAAAATCCAGTGTTTAAAACACTATGAAAGCAGAAAATGGGAGAAAAGTGACATAGCGCCCTCCTCAGTTTGCCAAAAACCTACCCTTCTTGCACAGCTGCCCAGGTTTTTCCAGCTTTGCTCTGACAATGTGTGGGGCGTCCGGAAGGCGTGTGCTGAGTGCTTCATGGCCGTGTCCTGTGCAACCTGTCAAGAGATCCGACGGACCAAATTGTCAGCACTGTTTATTAATTTGATCAGTGATCCTTCACGTTGGGTATGGCTTTATCATTTTGGGAAAAAAATATATTTGAGCCTGTTTTTAAATAAACTTGATTTTATAATTTAAGAAACAATTTATAACGTTATTCATACTTCTAAGAGTAGGCAATAAAAAGACTACTACGTTAAGAATATGCTTTTCAGGCGGGAGCTGTGGTTCAGTGGCAGAGCGCTTGCCTGGCATGTGAGGGGCACTGAGCTCGATTCTCAGCACCGCATAAAAATAAATAAATAAAATAAAGGTATTGTATCCATTTACAATGAAAAAATATTTTAAAAAAGAAATGAATGCACTTTTCTTAACTGTACAGTGTTTCTTTACAAATAAAAATCATGTTGGTTTTCATTCACTTGACAATGATGTATAACATTCATTGATTTTTGTTTTTTAGAACCTTGTGTTCTGTAAGTAATAGGTTAAATGTGATCAGATATGACCACTTGGTTGTAGCATATACAACCCACCTCTTCTCCTGTACTGGGGATTGAATCCAGGGGTGCTTTCCCACTGAGCTACATCCCGTTTTGTTTATATATATAAAAACTATATATATATATATTTTTTTTTGTGTGTGTGTGTGTATAGTTAATTAGTTGCAGTTTGACATAATACCTTTATTTATTTATTTATTTGTTTGTTTGTTTGTTTGTTTTTATATGGTGCTGAGGATCAAATGCGGGGCCTCATATGTGCTAGGCGAACATTCTACCATTGAGCCACAACCTCAACTCCCACCACCAGTTTTTAAATTTTTGTTTTTTCTATAATTTTGAGGCAAGGATCTAAGTTACTGAGTCTGGCCTCAAACTTGCTATCCTCCTGTCTCAGCCTACTGAGTCACTGGGATGACAGGCATGCACCCTTATACCTGGCTATATACTACTTTTGATGTGTTGCTGGATTTCATTTGCTAATGTTATGTTGAGGTGCTTTGTATCCATATTGTAAAAAAAACACTGGTCTGTAGGTTTCTTGTAATATCATTGTTTAATTTTATTATAATTTAAGTTGGAGAAATGGTCCTTCCTCTTCTGTGTTTGTTTTTTGTTTCAGAAAGTTTGTGAAGAGTTGGTATTAATTCTTTAAATGTTTGGTAGAATTCAGTGGAGAAACCTTTTGGGTCTGGTCTTTTCTTTGTAGGTAGTTTTAAAATTACTAAATAAATTTTCTGTGACATTTATTGGGAGCAAGTTTAGAGATTTCACAATATCCAGAAAAGGTAAACTCTTGACATATAATTTTTTAAATAACATCTTATGTTTTTATGGAAATAATGCTTACTGTCTTACGAAGAGGAACACACTGAGTTCACACACACATACACACACACACATACATACATTTTCCCATGAAGCATATAATTCCAGCCTTTAGGAAAACCAGCTAAACCCTTTTCTTGTATGGGTTCTCCAAGTAGGTAAATACTAATAGAAACACCTTACATTTATTTGCCTTTGTAAAATCCATATAATCATACAGTCCTCACTTTAAAACTTGCAAAACCTTCTGGAAAACTCTCTAGAAAAAGGATGCCATCCTGAGAGAGTTGGGTCTGTGGTGCCATCGAGGGTATGACACACCTCCTCTGCTGTCGCATTGCCTTTGTTGGATTGTGTTCATCCATCCTTCCTCCCATGAAACTCTTCTTTTCAAATGTTGTGTTTTCAAAACTCCCGATTTTGAAAAATAATGCAGAAATCCATGAGGTAAAATTCTGTAACCCCACACACAAGTGACATAAAGAAGTGTAGTACAGTAGCGGACGGGAATGGGGGTAGGGGAAAAGGAGGTGCCAGGACTGACCTGGAGCAAAGGAAGGTTCACCATGTGGTCATGTCTGAGTGAGCCCAGCCATAATGCACTGATAAGCGTGTAGTGAAAGAACACGAGTGTTTGCTTTCAGGTCTTTGTGGACTATGTCCCAGTATTGTCTTCTACTGGGTCTGTATACAGCTGTGGTACATCTGTCCTGCCTCCTTGTAGTAAACAAGTTATACAGCCTTTCCTACCTGAAAACATTAAATGTATTTGTTACATTTTGTTGACGTTATTACTTTATAATTTTTTTGGTACTCTTGATTTTCTTTATTCTTTTTGTTGTTGAAAATTTAATAAGGCTTTTTAAAATATATATATATATTTTTAGTTGTAGATGGATACAATATCTTTATTTATTTAACTTTTTTTTTTTTAATGTGTTGCTGAGGATCAGTGCCTCACACATGCCAGAAGAGTGTGTTACTTCTGAGCCACAACTCAGCCCCTTAACAAGACTTTTTAAAGACATATTCTACGCAAATATCTTATAGGTTCTCATATTCAGATTATCTTGGTTTGAATAGAAAAGAAGAAACTGGAAGTAAAAAGGAGAAATTAATCTACAAAATTCCAGAATCCTAGCTGAAGAGTGATTTTTTATAGTTCATCCTCTGGGAAAGCAGGCCGTCAGATGTGCCTGTGGCAAAAGCTCCTTCTCATTCCTATGGCTCACCACCTGGTTTCTTTCCTAGGTTCGCCAAGCAGCTTTTCAGTCCCTGGGACCTTTCATATCTACTTTTGCTAATCCATCTAGCTCAGGCCAGTATTTTAAAGAAGAAAACAAAAGTTCAGAAGATGTTTCAGTAGAAGACAAAAACAGGTATGATTTTAAAACTTAGTTTTCCAGTTTTACTGTTTGTGAATATCATTTCCAATATTTTATAATACACATTCATTTTGGAGCATTTACTAAAAAAATAATAGTTTTATTTCAAGTGTATGTATCTGTTATATTATTTAAACATCAGTTTAGTACATATTAAATGAGAAGATGTATATATCACACTTAGCTTACCTGGCACATAGAAAACTAAAAGATTTTAATATTTTTAAATAAGTTTATTTAGTAAATAATTTTCTTAGTAAACTGTTGATATTTAGAATATATAGCGTGATGGTTGTGCAGTATAAAGAGTTTGCTTTTTGTTTCTTTTAATGAGTTTTCAAGGAGTAAAACCTAATTTAAGAGTATATCTGTTTTGAGGCTGGGGTTGTGGCTCAGCGGTAGAGTACTCTCCTAGCACATGCGAGGTGCTGGGTTCAGTCGTCAGCACCACATGAAAATAAATAAGTAAAATAAAGGTATATGACCAACCAGAACTAATAAGTAAAAAAAAATACAGAATACTTTTTTTTATATATATATATATAGTCCATTTCTGACTATTTTTCCTTTCATGGATCTTGGATTCTCTTACAACAGAGCAATAATTATAAACTCTGAATTGAGGGGAAAGCATTTTAATGATTAATCCTAAACTAGTGTACTTAGTACTAGATTGTCAGTTTTTAAATGTATTAGCCTAATAGGCTAACCAATTTTTAAAATCTTAAAGAATCAACTCTTGATTTTTATTAAGATTTTTTTTTTGCATTATAAAGCTCAATTGAGTTTTAGTTTTTAGAATTTATCATGCTATATGCTGGGGGGCTGCCCAGCCCCACTGGTGCCTGGGAGGTGTGCTAGAGGCAGTCCTGCAGTGGGCCGAGTCACCGCAGGTCTGTCTTCCTGGTCATGGTGCTAACAGGCCTTTTCTTCTATAGGTCTTGGTACTGTGGTGTTGCTTTCTTGGTGTTTTGCTTTGGCAGTTCTTCTTTCTTCTCTGCCGCCTTGTTTTACCTCTTGCCCGTTCTCCTACTGTCCTGCTGAGTAGCCAAACAAACCCGAGGTAAAGGAAGAAAAATCACTCTGAACCTGTCTCCTAGCATGCAAAGCCTGTTCGTTCTTTTGAAAAGAGCTTCTGGGAGGAGTGTGACAAAATGACTGACGGGGTGGAGATGTCCACTGCAAGCTCTCTCACTGTCGACCTGAACGTACTGAAGACTATTACATAGCTTTCATTTACTTTAAAATCTGGAAGGAGTCTAGTAAGTGCAGGTGTGCATTTATAAAAATTGAATTGGGTGGGACAACACACTTTTGTTTTTTCTTTCTTTTTGTCTTTGTTTTTTTCCTTTTTTGGTGGCAGGGATTGAACTTGGGAGCGCTCAACCATTGAGCCACATCCCCAGTCCCATTTTTTGTATTTATTGTTTATAGACAGGGTCTCACTGAGTTGCTTAGTGCTTTGCTTTTGCTGAGGCTGGCTTTGAACTCTTGATCCTCCTGCCCCTGCCTCCCAAGCTGCTGGGATTACCGGCATGCACCCCTGCACCCAGTGCTGGAGGGCATACTTCCTGTGAGAGGCCAGTTAGTAAATGTCCTTCCCTATCACATTGCTCAGCTCTGCCTTTGCAGCCATGTGCCTCGGCTGTGTCAGGGCACTCTTGCTGATAAAAGCAGCTGTTGTGCCTCTCACGGCCATGTTTGCTGACTGCTAGTATGTGGCATTATTGGAAGAGCCATGTAAAGACAGTTTAATTCATGGATTCTTCTTCCATTGTGATGAGGTACGTCTTATCGTCAAGTCAGTACTACTTGTAGCATCAGCTTTTCACTGCATTGCTAGATGTTAAATTATGGTAATGGTATGGTGGAGAGAAGAGACTCCCCTGGCTGAGGAGGGAGTTCTGTCAAATAATGTAAATACTTTTGCATAGTTTGAATTCCTAGCTCTGTAGAGAAGTATTAAGTCTCAGAACCATTAACTTGCTTGCTCCTCTTAAATACTGTGCTGGCTTATTTTTAAGCCATTTTAAAATTGTTATGCCATTAAGATTAATAAGCAAAAATTAACTGAGCACCTACTGTGATCCACATGCTATAAATGGAAATATAGAACTTAGTTCTCTCGGTTACTGAGAATTTGGATGTCTTTGTTTCTTTCTTTTTCTTTTTCTTTCTTTCTTTTTTTTTTTTTTTTTTTTGGTACCCAAGGGCACTGAACCACATCCCCAGCCCCTTTTAAATATTTTTTTTTTAAATTGCTTAGGGCCTCATTGAGTGGCTGAGGCTGGCTTTGAAAATCCTGATTTTTTACACAACATCTTATGAAGTATTTAACTCTTTCCAATGCTGTTTTTTCTTTCTTTTTTTTTAAATAATGTGTTTTGTGTAGTAGCTCTGGAAACATTCACTGCCACATGGTACTGTGAAGGCTCATTGATGACTAAAGTGTGACTTCATTGGCTTTGTCTTTCACTCACCTCATCAGGCTTCTTTGAAGCATTTGTGCTTCTCTGAAAGTGCTGTTAAGTCTCCTTCCAGAGCAGAATTAAACATTTACGTGTACGCTTAAAAGTATGTAATACAGGATTCTTTTATGTTTCGTTGTCCTGTGAATGAAGTGGGTCCTGGTGCTTCTCCCTGCTTTCTTGCTGGCTGCTCTCTGCGTGGGAAACCGTCTGTCCCCCTTACCTTCTTCTAACAGAGTGAGCATCGTGATGCACACTGTCCCCAGCCTCAGAACCAGCAAGAACCCCTTCTTGACCTTTTCCAGGAAACTCAGAGCTTTGTGTATCTGCCGTTAGTAGCACTGGAGTTGGAGCACTCATCTTTATTTTTTTTCCATCACACTTGTAGAGCAGATTTCCATATCTCTGCTTGTACGCTGGAGCACTAAACTTTAATTGCATCTTAACTATGTGTTCACCTACATATAGTGGCTGCAAGCCTCCAGTGGAGTGGTCTGTCCTTTGTGCTGGTGCCTTCCCTGGGCTGGTACATATTTTATGCAGAGGAAAGCTTGAATGAATTGTTCTAAGGAAACATGGGTTTGATCTCAGAAATCTTCCCTAACTGCTTTTGCCACGTGTTGGTTTAGCTTAAGGTCAGCTGTGTAAACGTGAGACGGGTTGTTGTTGGCGCCGTTGGGAATATTTCTCTAATGTTAGAACTCACTCCGGTTAGTGAAGTGTATGCACAGCACAGTCTTTGGAAGGTGTGTTCTGGAGGGTTCTCCTTCCTCTTTCTGTGGGACCCAGTGCTCCTTAACCAGATGTCTCACAGTTTTCCAGGCCCCATATCCCATGCTGAGGAACTCTAAGGATATCACTTGCAAACTTACATGAGCATAAAAAGAAATTTTAAAATTCTTTAGAGATGGATTCCTGCCCCACCCTCTGGTACTTTTGTACCCAAGTCTCTTGGGAACTGGGACCCTCCCTCCATGGTGCAGAAGCAGTCTCCTCAGTTTTCAAAACCATGTTTGTTTTGTTTAGTAGCATGTGAAAGTCTGGCAAGTGAGCGTGTCAGAATTGTGGCGTTGAGCAGTGTGGTTTTGTTACCCAGCTAGGAAAAAAGGAATTTAGGGAGTTTATACTGCATTCACAATAATTCCTCCCAGGATTTAATACTAGGGAAAACTCCTGTGTCTCCTAGTCTCTCTAGGATGCACTGTTCAGTTTACATTTTGCTAGACAAGTAGATGGTTCAGCCCATTGTTCCTTATTTGATTTTGTTGTTGAAGATATTAAAATTTCATCTTAGTGATCAGAGAACTTCAGACCTAGGACAGTTTCACATTCTGAATGACATTTTTATTAGGAGCTTTTTATGTTTATCTGTTTGTTCCTTCCTGTCTCAATTGCTGAAAAAATATCTTGTTAATATAAATTTTAAAATTTGGTTTGAATGATTTCAGAAAAATTATACAAATACCACAAAGAATCCCACATATCCTTCATCCAAATTCTCTGGATATTAATGTTTTACCATATTTGCCTTACTGCTGGTTATTTTTAGAACTCATTTTGACATGATATTCTTTTTACTTTTTTTAAACACTTTACTGTGTATTTTTTCAAAACACACACATTGCCGGGCACAGTGGTACAAGCTTGTAAACCCACCGGCTCAGGAGGCTAGGCAGGAGGATCGCAAGTTCAAAGCCAGCCTCAGCAACTTAGTGAGAACCCTGCCTTAAAATAAAAAGGACTGGGGATGTGGCTCAGTGCCCCTGGGTTCAATCCCCAGTACCAAAATAACCCCAAAACCAATACACACAAACACACATACGATTAATACATAACTTCAGTGACCAACATAGGAAATTAACAAAACACTATTACCTAATCTGTAGACTTTATTCAGATTTCACCAGTTATCCTACTAAAGTTCTTAATAACAAAAGGAAAAAAAAACACATTTTAATAAGAACAAAATGACCAAAGAACACATTCAGCACACATGCTTGTTTTTTAATAATAGCACAAGCTTCAGAAGCTCTTTTGAGAAGGAAAGGATCTCATGGCTCGTCTGGGCAGGTCCCTCATGCTGATGCAGTAGAAGTAAGGAAGGAGCCTTGTGGGGCTTTATGTCAATGTGTTAGCAGCACCGGGTCAAAACAGGCAGTCCGGGTTCTTCAGTTGTGACACAGCTGGGCTCCATGTGCATGCTCTGTTTATAGATACAGAATGGAAGAGAAATATCTATCATTGTGTGGTGTGTGGTCAGATAACGTTTATATATTTTTGTTTTCTCTTTAAAAAATCTTCAATAGTCGTGTTTTTAAATATGTTTTTTTAAACGTGGTGAGCAGTATGATGAAAGGGAATTTCACTACCTCACGAGGACGCTGGTGGTGGCTATTGAACTGTGACCTTGTGTGGTGTTGACCCTCCTTTTGCAGGGTTCCCTTAGCCTCCTGTTGGGATGTCTTTTACTGTGTGTATTTAAAAGCGCATGATGTACTAAGGAAATGCCCTTATTGTCCCCCTCCTTTTCACTTTAAAAATGCACACACACATTGATCCACCCTGTCCTGCTCTCCTCCATTAGTCCGCCCTAGGGTTTAATCCATCCCTCACCCCAAAGATGCTACCTTTCTTCAGAACACATCATCACTTGGGGGCAGGTCTGGAGTCACTGTGTCCTTCTGACCTCCTTCTTTGAGAGTGGCCTTAGGAGAGGAACATTTCTGATAGTGTCCTCGTCCTCAGCCTGCCAACGCCGTTTCCTCTCTCCACGTCAGAACCGTCTGGTGGTTTTCCTGGCTGTTGCCCCTCTCCTCGGCTCCTGCCTTTGTGTGCCGGTTCTTCTTTGAAGACGTTTCCTCCTTAGTCTCAAAAGCACTGACTGGCTCTTCTCAGTACTCCTGCCGCTTCCTCCATGGCTTCCTGGTGCCCTCCCCTGCCCCTTCCTGTGCTAAGTGTGCCTGCTTCTCCGCTTACAGCTGGCTCTTGTTGCTTTATTTGATCTTTTTAATTTTTTTTTTCTTTTTTTTGGTGTTGGGTATTGAACCCAGGCGTGCCTAACCACTGAGATACACTCCCATCCCTTTTTGTTTTTCATTTTGAGACAGGGTCTTCCTGAGTTGTTGAGGTTTGCCTCCAACTTGAGATCCTCCTATCTCAGCCTCCCGAACTTCTGGGATTACAGGCATTTGCCACGGTGTCCAGTGATCCTTTCTTTTATTTGCTTCTAACTATGATCTCAAGAGCAAGATCTACATCACATTAATATTCAGATCCTCAAAACTCATTTTGTTTCCTGACTCTAAGTAGGTGCTCAGTAAATGCTTACTAAATTTAATTGAGACAGATAAAACAGGCAATAAACAGTAAAACTTAAGATAGCACTTTGGTTTAGATGACAGATGGCAGTAGTTAGTGGACTTCAGTTGGGAAACTGTTAATTTTGCTTACCAGTTAAATCTTGCCTTCCATTTGGAAAAATTTGGGAGTAGAGATGGAAATTATGGAAGAAATAAAAATAATTCTTTGTTTGCACTTAAGTAGATTCATATATCTCATGAGACAGTTAATAAGTACATTTTCTACTATTTATGTAAAGCTCTTTTTCTTTTTTTGTGTAAGCAAAAAAGCTTTTAATTCTTAGCTTTCAGCATGTCATTGGAGCAGAGTGGCAATATAAATAATGCCAAAAATCCTATAAATTAAAAGTCGTGTGTATCATCAAATGCATGTAGGAATTGCCTCTTATTATTTTTCTATAGTTGCTTATTGAAATTAGTATGGTATTGTAGAATCCTAGAATTATTTTTTTGTTGGGGGGGTTACCAGGGATTGAACTCGGGGGCACTGGACCACTGAGCCACATCCCCAGCCTATTTTGTATTTTATTTAGAGACTGGGTCTCACTGAGTTGCTTAGCCACCTCACTTTTGCTGAGGGTGGCTTTGAACTTGTGATCCTCCTGTCTCAGCCTCCCAAGCTGCTGGGATTATAGGCGTGTGCCACTGTGCCTGGTGCCCAGGATTCTTTAATGTTACCTTCTCCCACTAGTAGTACTTGAATAGCTAGAATTATGCTTAATAGGTGTTTACATCTCTGAACAAAGAACAGCTAATGGAAAAAGAAGCATTCTAAGTGATGGACATGAACAATTCAATTTGTATGGATGATAATTTGTAATATTTAACTTGTCAAAAGGCTATATGTAATATCTTTCTTGGATTTGTTTTCCAGTAATTGTTTTATTTATGCTTTCATGTTTTTGTGTGTGTTTTTTCCCCAAAAATGAAACAATAAAAGGATCAGAAATCAAGATGTCCTAGAGGATGTACAAATCAGGCCAGAGGATGTTCCTTCAGATCTCAGAGTCACTAATTCCAGTATTAACCTGGAAAACTTGCTGGAAGGTCCTGCTTCGGAAACATCCAGGAAACCTCCAGGTGAAATCAGTGTTCCAGCGGACAGCTCTTTACTTTGTACTTTGTCCTCAGAACTTCATCAGGAAGCAGCTAGTAATGAGAATGACAGAAAGCCTGGTCACTACAAATCCACCTTCCGGCCAGAGCCTGGCACCAGCTCGCAGGATTCTGCTCTCTTAGATCAGGAGTTGTACAACTCCTTCCATTTTTGGAGGACTCCTCTTCCTGAAATAGACCTTGATACGGAGCTAGAGCAGGACTCTGGGAAAAGCCCAAGCCCAGAAGCAGCACCCGAAGTCCCTGTGTCATGTTCTCCAAATATCACCATGGCCACCAGGAGGGAACTTGAAGAAATGATAGAAAACCTGGAGCCCCATATAGATGATCCAGATGTTAAAGGTATGCAGGTGTTAGGTTACTTCTTTATTCTAAAATTGATGTAAAATGTGACTTTTCAAAACCTTTTTCTAGAATAATTCCCTCCTTTTAAGATCAATAGATGTGTTTGGGTTTTATTGTTCTTGTTGTTTTCTTTTGTTATGAAGCTCTCAGGTAAGGTAGGCTCATCACCGTGTTCTTTATTGGAGTGTGCAGGGTTTGTTGCTCTGCCGGTTGCCCTGCCTGTTGGAATGTAGGAAGAGGGTGGAGCAAGTGGGCCCAGCCAGTGAGGGAAGAGGCACGCTCCCTGCCCCTGGGAAGACATGGCCTTCCTGATGATTCCTGGGCCCTTTGGGGAAAGCCAAAATGTTATTTAAACCAAAAAGTGATTTTGGAAGATCCCATAAGTACAAGTCTTCAGATCTTATATTACTTTCTGAATTTTTTTATTTCCTTGTTTGTTCCAAAAACTAAAATTTCTAAACTGTCAGTTTGCCCAATATTGAGAAATGTCCATTTCTGAAGTAGATAAAATGATAGCATCAGTATCCTTTTAAAATGGAGAAAACATTATGTTTGAACTTTAAAAATTGCATTGGCATGGTCAAGTTAGCAATTGTCTTTATTTGATTTTCATTTATTGTGATTTTTTTAAACAACTTTCTATTATAATTTTACACTTGGGAAAAATGAATATGATTAAAGGCTAACTCCTGCACTTGGTGGTTGAACATTAATTGAAAAGTAATCAGTTTCTTTTTTTTAACATTTATTTTAAAAGAGTTATGGGGGTGTGATTTCTATCAGTAAAAGTCATGCTTTTGATTGGATGGGGTTAGATGGGGAAGCACAGGCAGGTAGCGCCACACCCCGGCGAGTCTCGCTCCCTCCACACCCTCTGGGTGCTGCTCTGCCCTTTCCAGAATGCTGCCAAGTCGGCACAGAGCCCTCGAGTCTGACCAGGATCAGCCCTGTGGCATGTCACTAGTTCACTCCTCTTATTATCTGAAACCGGCACGAGCGGAAGACTGAATGTTAGCAGGGTGCTATGGTCTTCCCTTCCAGGAGTTCATTTCCACAGAAGCCTTGGGGCTTTACTTTGTTTGCTTCCTTCTTCAGTCGCAGCTACTGCTATGGAGTTTCACCATGTAGCAAGGGCTGAGGATTTTATTTTGTTTGCCAAACACAAATCCTGACCCAGATCTCACTTGTGTCCCCCTCCTTTCCGGTCTACCCCAGTGAGAATCAAGCACAGAATTAGACCCCAGACTAGGGCCGCGGGAGCCACCAGTGCCTTCACTCTCTCCCGCTTTTCATTTGTCTTTTTTTATTAATTACCCACTTAAATTTGATAAAGTATTAAACTTCGATACCTCATATTTCATTTTCTTAAACTCCATTTTTATGAAAAAAATATTGCCAGCTGGTCCTCGAGCCTATCCTGGGAGTTCTCGTTTTATCACAGTGCCTGTTGGCTTTCAGACACTTGCAGGCACTTTTAAATTGTTAATTGAAGTGTTGAATGAATTTTAATTTTTCAACAAATAAAATAGCTTCTTCCATAGTTCACTTTTTATAAAAGACTTGTGTAAGGGCTAGGGCTGTAGCTCAGTGGTGGAGCACCTGCCTCACACATGTGAGGCACTGGGTTTGATCCTCAGCACCACATAAAAATAAATAAAGATATTGTATCCAACTACAACTAAGAAAATATTTTTAAAAACTAAAATAAAAGACTTGGGTAAATGCACCTTCTAGGATATGACTTTGTTTCCTTTCTTTTTTGATCCTAGGGGTTGAACCCAGGGGAGCTCTACCATTGATCTACACCCCAGGCCTGTCCCACTTTTTTTTTTTTTTTTTTTTTTTTTTTGAGACAGGGTCTCACTAAGTTGCTGAGGCTGGCTTTGGACTTGTGACTGTCCTGCCTCAGCCTCCTGAGCCTAGCTTATGACCCACATTTCTGAAGATGGCTAATACTGTACTTTTTGACTTAACATTACATTGTAACTTTATAAGCTACAGCTGAGAGATTTCAGTGTAGATACTGTCTTGTGATCTAATCTAATTCAGCTCTGTAACCTGGTAGATTAACAGTTATCATGTTGTTCTGTCCACTGTGGCAAGGATTGCTGTACATATTTCCTTGGCAGGTTGGTCCTTCCTTCAGTAGTACTGACCAAGCACCTGTTGAGATGGTCACTGTATCAGGACTTAGGAGACGGCAGCTGCAAACCAGACAGCGATCCTGAGATTTGAGGCAGAGGAGCAGATGGTGTGGTGCTGGGGGTAGAACCGGGGCCTGAGTGTGCTGGATAGTGCACAGAGGCTCAGCCACTGAGCTGCACCCCAGCTCCAGGGTGCAGAATTTTTGAGTGCTTGATTTTGTTGAGATCTGAGGGCACACATACTCTGTGTTAAATAATGCCTTAAAAGAATGGATGTTAATTTGGGGTGCTTTTTATTTTCTACTTATGCCTTTGTAGGGCAGTCATTTCTTCAAACTGTCAGAAAACAGTGATGTGTTCCAAAGGTAGAACTTAATCTGAGATTGAAAACAAAGTTCTCACCAGGGAGCACACCAACAAAGTTGGTGGCCTCGTGGATTTCTTCTTGTTGGGCTTTGTAGGGGCTCTCACAACAGAGCTTGTCCACTGTCTGCCAGGGAAGCCCTTTCAGGACACTCATGGACACTTGGCTTCAGTCCCATCTGATCCCTTTCCTTGTAGCTGTGCTCTGGGGACAGCAAGACTTAGTGGATTTCTTCTAAGGCAGCTTTCACTTCACGGTCTCGCTGATGTCCATCTTGCCTTCCTGTGAGCACGGATATTTTTTGCTGCCTTGTGGATTTGGGGTATGACATTTAGCTGTGTCTTCTTAGATAACATTGGGAGTCCTGTTTTGTGGGAACCCTTTATTGGTTAGAGCAGATAGATCCTTGTGGGAAGATCTCCGTGTAGATCCCACATGGTGAGATACCTGACTTGCAGGGTGGCTAGGCAGATCCAGGTAGAACAGGGAGCAGCCACTGAGCAGAATGCCTCCCTTGGCTGGACCTGCCACAATGAGGTCCACACACTGCATAAGATCTGCTCACAAAGCTACTGATTTCTTTCTTGTTTGGGTCCAACTGAAGAATTAGGCCCATTGAGAGTTTATCAGAAAAGCTGTGTTGTTCACTGTTTAAAATCAGTAAATTACTGTTGGCCTTAGGAACTTCTAATGATCACAGCATGGTTGTGGAGAGTGGGCGATCCCAAAGGGTTAGCTCAGCTGTGCCGGTCCCTTCAGGAAAAGACCAAAGTTTGAAGGTTTCAGGTGGTCCCCATCTCTTTGATGTGTCTCTGGGGATTGTGTTTCTTCATAGATTCATGGTTCGTGCCACCTAAAAACCTGCTGAGCGTGTGATTATATGGCCCCGTTCCCCTCTCGGAGTGCTCTATGTTTGTCATTGGAGTTAGATGTGCTAAACCCTTATAGTCTGGAATGATCATTTCCATTGGGAATGACAGTAGTTGGCTGTGGGTGACACATAACACTGAATCGGCTGTCCCTGTAGTAACTCCAGAGTCCTGGGGGGAGAGACACCGTTCCAGCAGCTCTCTCTCAGAGCAGCAGCCTGAGACTCTTGGTAAAGCAAGCAACAGATAGATTTCAGTGTTGCTCACAGACTCTTAGTTCTGAGGCCCTAATTCTGGGTCCTGGGGTTTCAGTCTGCACTGCGAGTGGGAGGCAAGCCTGGGTGAAAGTCTCCTTAAGTTCCTCACCATTGCCCTTTAGATCCTCCTAAAATCCCAGCAGTAGCGAAGCTGAAGATTCTGTCTTTTTCTCTGGTTGGAGAATTTAAGCTTCAATTCTGAGGATGCAGCTCTAGGTTCCATTTCAGTTTTCTGAAAAAGATAAGTTCACAGTGTAACTCATTTACATTTTTATGAACATAAAAACTTACAAAATGCACCAACACGCACATGACAATGGGAAGGATGCAGAGCACTTAGATAAGGGACCTGTGTCGGATGTTCCATAAGAGGCTGGTGTCACACTCACTTCCAGGGTGCTGGCGATGGCCAGGCATGTGCCTGCCTCACTTGGTAGCGGCCACCCGTATAATGGTATATGGTGTGGCCTGCTGTGCTGCTGTTGTGCTTCAGCTGGGGAATCTTGAAAGACGCCAGGAGGAATAGAAACGTCTGTAAAGAGAGCCTACAAATTGCCACTGAGATTCTGAGAAGAGTGAGCGAGAGCATGCTCCCACAGAACTTGCAGGAGTCAGCACCACGGTTTATTAACTTAGCCCATGACAACCTGCTAGAACAGGGCTCCCTCTGAGCGCACCTCGCATCCCCGTTGCCAGGTACTGACAGGGCGCACTGTCCAAGTGCTGCAGGCCATGTCACGCGCTTGTTGATCATTTTTTTGAACATGAACTTTGTATTCAAGTGGAGTGCTACTTGGAGTAGGTGCTGAGCAGTGCATTTGCTGACCCTCGCGAGAGTCGGGGGTTAGTGAGGATGCTTTTCTGTGGCTGTGAATCCCTTGCTGAGGGAGGCACTGCGGTCGCCAGGTTGAAGAACCGCTGCTGCTGAGTTGTCCTCTTGGTTCGCTGCGAGGAAGACAGCGTTTCTATAGGGTCCCTGATCTTGGGACATGTGGCTTCTTTTTCATTGTCAAGAAGAACTAGAGCAGAGCGAAGCAGAATGAGATGGGAGAGGTGTTCAATGTTCTGAGGAGCATGCGCAGGGGCCTGTGTAGTGCCCGCTGTAACGTTGGCAGAGTCTGCCAGCGGGCTCACGCACTACCAGAGGTGGTCCACTCTCTCAACTGACTCCTTTCATGTCAGACTCCAGTCCCTCTAGCACCTAGGTAGCATCTCTCCTCCTGATGCAGAGCGGTGTGCGGTAGCGAGTGGAGCGTCTGACCCGTGGAGGCCTATTAGCATGTTAGTGGTCTCCTCTGGAGGGACTAATGATTTATAATAGTAGACATTTTTTTCAGCTTTTTGATGCAGTGTAAAAACTTTGATGGTGCCACGTGCTGTGCCGTGGAGGAGCACGCCAGAGCCCGCCCCGCTCACTGTCTCCCTCTTCTGCCTGCAGCACAAGTGGAAGTGCTGTCGGCCGCACTGCGCGCTTCCTGTCTGGATGCTCACGAGGAGACCGGCAGCGTGGAAAAGAGAAGTGACCTGCAAGACGAACCGGGTATAAATGAGCTACCAAATTGTAAACTAACTCAAGATGATTCTGTGCCTTTAATCTGCGATGCCGTTGAGGTAACGAACCACGAGGTGTTGACCGCGCGACAGCGGTTTGCCTCAGCGGCCTTGGTGGGGATGGCTGTGGCTAATCACGTCTAGTTAGCACGTTCTGGGGCTGCCGGTTTACCACGTCCTCTTGCACAGAGTAAAAGCGACTGTCCACGTCCTGTCCTTGTGACGCTGTGCCGTAGTGAATGCCTGGGGAGTGCCCCAGTCCTGCCTGGGGCCATATGGTGGGCTTCATGCTAACGTAGCTCACTGCAGTGAAATAGTCTTACTGGAAACAAAGCCCTTTATTAAGAATAATTAACTCTTCCCTTTTCTTTTTGGAGAGGTGCTTTGTTTCTGGTCGGACCATTTCACTGCAGCAAGCAACACAGTGTTCTGAGAAGATCGGGACTTGAGGCCACGTTGCGGAGGGCCAGTGGCATTGTCTGGACTCGAGTGTGAGGGTGGGTACTGTTACGAGCCTCGTCGTCACTGCGCTCTTGTGAATCCACATGGTCCTTCCCTGGTCTCCCACGACAGCCCCAGCAGCCAGCGGCAGTTGCTCTGTCCCTTCTCCCTGGGTGGTTTAAAGGCAGAGAGGGAACATGCCACTCATTGCCAGAATCCAGTGGCCCCAGGTCCTAGTGGCTCGAGTGATAAGCTCAGGAAAGCGCGCTCTTACTCTTTGGGGACGGCAGGTTCTTGGAGCTCTGGTGCATTTGCTTTAGTGTTTGTCGGGTGACGTCTGTTGTGTCAGAGATCTGCAGAACACCAGTGCTCTGGAGGGAAATGCCAACTGTTTGTTGGAGTTTTAACTGCTGTGCTATATCTGCATTTTAGATGGTTTTTTATTTGTTGGCTTTGTGTGAAGAGGAGTTCTGTGGTTAAAAGTAGATGTTTCTGAATTAGATATTAAAGAGCCAAGAACAAACAGAAGAGACACTGTGTATGACACCCAGTGGCCTCTTGAACAGTTGACTGAAAGAAGCCTCGGAGTACTGTTTTATGAATGAGCTAATTCAAAATATTTAGTCCATTGCAAAACTATTTTCAAATCTGCTTCTTTAAAAAGTATTTTTTTTTTTAGTTGTAGATGGACACAATACCTTTATTTTATTTGTTTATTGATTTTTTTCAATGTGATCCCGAGGAGGGAACCCAGTGCCTCACACAAGCTAGGTAGAGTGCTCTACCACTGAGCCCAGCCCCAGCCCCTCAGATGGACTTTTTAATCACTCTCATTTTCCTGGAGTGAACATTCACAGATTGAACAGCTTCTTAGCAAGCTTGCTTTTAAAGCAGAGGAGGTTCTCACGGGCCTGGGGCTGGGCTTGTGTGTGCTCATGGTGCTGGGGATCAAGCAGGGCCTTGGGTGTGCGAGGCAAGCGCTCTGCACGGAGCTGAGCTGCACCCAGCCCAAGGCCATGTGTGTAGAGACTCTTAAAAACCTCAAGAGTTGATATGTGTTCCTATCTGTATGGCAGCCTTGAGAGGTAAGTAGCCTAGTAAAATGGTTTTAATGAGGACAACTTGGAGGAGAAGGGCTCTCTAAGCATGTCTGTTTCCCAACAGGGCGTGGACTCCACTCCTCACTATGCCCATGACGACTCGGACATGAGCACCAGCAGTGGCTTCAGCCCTGAGGAGGAGAGGCGGGCCAAAGTGCAGGTGAGCCCCGCTGGGTGGGATTGGGGGGATCATGCTGGGCGAGGACACGCAGCAGGGAACCTCGCCCAGGGCCATCCCCGCCAGGTTCCCTCACAGACCTTCACAGGTCTGTGAGCACACGGGTACCCCTTTTCACCTCTCAAGAGAAGCAGGATCATCCCAGGCCACCACAGTGTGGCCTTATCTGTAACTTAGCTTTTAAATTTAGTAATTAATTCTAACTGGTCTTTATGCTGTTTATTGTTTAAGATCTTAATTAGCTCTAGTTTTGCTTTGTACACACACATGTTTTCCTTAGTATGTGTTTCTTGTCTCTTTGCAATTATTAATAGCCTAAAATTCAACATTAAAATCCAGGTGTTTAAAAGTGACGTGGTAGAACACTTGCCTAACACGTGAGGTCCTAGGTTTGATTCTCTACACCACATATAAAATAAAGGTCTGTTGACAACCAAAAAAGTACTTTAAAAAAAATAAGTAATTTTTACCTGATTTATATCTAAACTGCTCAAAATGTGTTACTGTCCTCTTTATTCATTAGGATGTTGTGCCTCAGGCTTTGCTAGATCAGTATCTGTCTATGACGGACCCCTCTCGTGCACAGACGGTTGACACTGAGATTGCTAAGCACTGTGCGTACAGCCTCCCGGGCGTGGCCCTGACCCTCGGCCGGCAGAACTGGCACTGCCTGCGAGAGACCTATGAGACCCTGGCCTCGGACATGCAGGTGGGTGAGGCTGAGGTGGGACCAGGCACCCTATACACACAAGGCCCACATTTTTTGGCTTTTAAAGCCTAGAGAGTTTCTGTTTCAGTCAATCTTATATGAGTGAGCTTAAAGGTCATGTCAGAGAGTGTTTTGCATCAGGATTCCAGCGTCTGGCCTCTGGAGTGTATCGCAGGTCTTCATTTGAATGGAACCACAGGGGCCCCATCTCCATAGAGTACTAGGTCCTCTGCCTTGGAGTTGATGGTCTCCATTCCACAACATTCTCGGGGCTCCTGTGCCCGCCTGTCCCCTCTCCTCATCAGACATCTCTGTCTCCACCTGTTATGTGTGAACCTGAGCGAATGGGTATAAGTCAAGTGTAGGGGCTGCTGTGAAGCTATTGGTGGAAATGCTTCTGTAGGTGAAGTTTTAAGTCACAGTGTCAGTTTTTAAATTAAGGCCATGTGGAGGAAAAGATGTTTTTAACTTAGTTTCCTAGCAAATGAGATTTCTGTTGAGTTCTTTTCCAAGGGCTGTACACAAAAGATTTTCCTATTCTTGTATTTAAGTTGTCAGTTCCATACAAACAAATTTTATTGGTTTTTATCTAAGACTTGAAACAACTTCTGAAGATTCAAGTGGGATGGAGCCAGGTAGCCTTTGAGTCCTGTGGACATCAGAAAATCAGGGACCTAATGGTCATAGAGTGGCAAAACTGGTCCATTAGGGATTCCCCCAAGCATCGTTTTCTTCATAAATGAAAGGGAAATGGAAAGCAAAAAAATATATATTTTTTTTAATTCTCATAATAGACGTTTAAAATTTAGAATCCATTATTTCTACTATTATGTGTTTGCTCTTATATTTTGAGATTAATATTCAAAGTACTGTGCACTTGTATTTAACTTGCTAACGTAGCTTTTGTTCTGCAGTGGAAAGTCCGAAGAACCTTAGCATTCTCCATCCATGAACTTGCGGTTATTCTTGGGGATCAGTTGACAGCTGCGGATCTGGTTCCAATTTTTAATGGATTTTTAAAAGACCTCGATGAAGTCAGGATAGGTGTCCTTAAACACTTGCATGATTTTCTGAAGGTAACTTTAAAACTTTTCACATAAAACATAATGAAATTCCAATATAAATCTAAAATTTTGTTTATGTTTTGTGTCTTTGGTGATCAGCAGGATTTCTGTGTGTTCCTTTATAAGGAAATATACCCCTGAGTTGGTGGTAAGATGTGACTTGAGGGGGAAAAAAAGCCTCATTCTGATAAAGTTTGCTCGTGTCATTTAATTTTTTTCATTCAAATTTATGCCAACATTCATTTTTAAACAAATGTGTACAAACATGTACCATTTTCTTTTTTGGCATTGTAGAATAAGATAAACGTTTAACCTCTTAGGAACCGTGGGCTTGTGTTCTGTGGCCTTCCAGGGCCTGGGTTCACAGATGGCCTGCTTCTCAGACTGTCACCTTGAACTAGTTGTCCTGGGGATGGAACCCAGGGCTAGCCTCTCTGCCACCACCCATCTTAAAGTAGTTTGAATTAGAAAAGTAATTGTATATGGAAGAAATTATAATCCTGCTTTTGGGGGGGAAAAACTGACTTTGTTAGACTATTTTATACAGAGCAGACTGAAATTTTTTTGTTTCAATAATGTCCCTTATAGCTTTTATCCCTTTAATTCAAAGTCCAACTAGAAAGCACATGTTGAACTTAAATGTTTTAGCTCTTCCTCAAAACATTTTCCCTATTTTTTTGTTTTGTTTTTTGGTGGGGTACCAGGGTTGCACCCAGGGGCATTTAGCCACAAACCCAGCCATTTATTTATTTATATTTTGAGAGAAGGTCTTGAGAAATTGTTTAGGGCCTTGCTAAGTTGCTGAGGCTGATCTTGAACTTGGAATCCTCTTGCCTTGCCCCCCCCCCCAGCTGCTTGGATGACAGGTGGATGCCTCTGTGCCTGGTCACATGACTTCTCAGTGCCACTGACATTTTGTGAGAGTCCAGCTGGGTGTTCTGCATGTTACCCCCTGGTTTGGATTTGTCTAGGTGTTGCCATGCAGCTTGATTCTGATTAAGCCGGGGCTTTCACAGGCATATGTCTACCTGGTCTTCCTGGGTGAGTTGTCAGTTATTTTCCATGTTTTGCCTTAGGGTAACATGGTGTCGGCCCTTGTATTGCTGGTGACGTGTCTGGTCATGGCATCGGTTCGATTCCTGCATTATGAACCTTTCACCCTTGGGATCAGCAAGAAATTGCTGAGCGGATGCTGTTGAAGTCTTGACATCTTTTTCCCTAGAAAAGATGCGCGGTCCTTTCATCTCCCTTTCAAAGCGCTCTCCAGTGTGGCCGCGGACTTAGAATTCACTTACTCGGAGTCTCGTTGCCCTTGTCTGTCTGAGCCTGGGCAGTGGGGGCCGGAGTGTGGAGCTGTCTGTGGGCAGGCCTGTACGTCGAGCCCACCGTGCACTGTGCTCCTGGGCACCTGTCTGTCGGGCTTTTTCAGGAGACAGGAGCCAAGAAGTTGTTTTGCTCTGAATTATTGAGTTTGCTTTTGAAATTGAAGTGAATTGTCCAGTACTTGTAAATGTGGAAGGTGGTGGAGAGCTGCTTGGCCTGGCTCTGGCCCTTCTTCTCCCACTTCCACATCGCTTCCTCGGCTGGCATGAAGGCTCATTCTGTGCAATGCTGACAGCTGGTCGCTCCAGTGTCCTACAACACTCGTGGGATAGTTTGGGAATGACTCCTGGTCAAGGGGCTCTAGCAACGCCCACAGGTGTCGTCAGCGTTTCCTCGGGCTCCACCTGTCCTCCAGCTGTGCCCCTGTGGGGCAGGTGTCTGTGCTTAGTCGGCCCGTAGACACGGGCAGAGCAGTTGTCGGGTGCATTTATCTTTTTGCTCAAATCTTCATTAAGCACCTACTCTGTGCGACAGGGCATTCACTGGCCTTGTCGCACACATGGGGGCAGTCACTGTTTCGGGGTGCATGTGAGGGGAGCCCAAGGGTAGTATAGGCCTGCCGCAGCCTCAAGGGAGCCAAGACTTCTTCGAGAGCAACAGTGGCTCTGTAGGCCAAGTGGGTCACTTGGGAAATCGAGTCGAGGACCTCTGCTACACACTGCCAGTGAGCCCTGCATCTCTAGACCACTGGGCAGCCACACTCGAGTCCACTCTGCAGCAGGCCAGGGGCGGCACCTCTCCTCATCCTGGTGAGTGAGACGCTGTGTTTTGTGCGCAGCTCCTTCACATTGACAAGAGGAGAGAGTACCTGTACCAGCTGCAGGAGTTCCTGGTGACCGACAACAGCAGGAACTGGCGCTTCCGTGCGGAGCTGGCTGAGTAAGTTGGACTGCCCTCCTCTCTCCCGCTTGGAGCAGGGCCAGGTCTCTGGCAGTTCCTTGGGCACTTCTTAGGGTGCAGGGCTCCATCTGCTGTGAGAGAGGTGCGAGCTGCCCTGGCCCCCAGGCTCGCTGTGGCATGTCACCCTTCCGTGGCGTTGGCCTCTCTTGCTAGCATGCCACCCCCACCCCATGGTAACTGGGGCTTCTCCCTGCAGCAGGCGACGTTGGCTGGACGTGAGCCAGGGGCCTTTGCTCAGGAAGGCTTCCCACCCCCACTGGGTTGCAGCATGTGCCCGCCCTCCCTAGCGCTTCCTGTAAGCCTATGCCCATGGTCTCCCTCAGGGGCCTGGGGCTTTCCCTACATGTGAGAAAAGGCCCTGGAGTGCCCTATGCCACCCAGTGTTGTTGACACCTGAGGGACCTCCCTCCTGACCCAGGGGAGAGGACCCTGTAGGCGACAGTTTACAAGTAGGCAAGCACCTGTGTCCGGCACCTTCCAGCCACTGTGCAAGCCCACACCTGGCCTGGGAAGCCGGCTGCCTTTCCGGTGGCTTCGTCTCACCTGTGGCAGCAGGCACCTCTTCCACCCACACGTTACGCAGGCCAGACTATTGGTGTGTCCCACTTGTCATTCTGGGAAGTAATGCTCTTTGATGTCCTAGAGGTCCTCAGGTTCCCCCAGACAAGATATGCAGTTTCGGGGGGGGGGGGTCCTCTGCGGTCATCCCTGGAGGCTGCTGGAGTCCCAACAGGTGCATAGTGGCCCCCTGTTGTGACAGGAGCACAATAGACCCCCTGTTCTGCTGAACTTCCTACTGAGCACACATGTTTGCCAACCGGTTTCTCAGCTCATCCTGTGGGAAATGTGCCAGGCTCCAGCTGAATACTCCGGGAAGGGCTTTGCGCTTTCTCAGTGCCTTAGTCTGTCCTGTGTAGCTGTCACAAAACATGGGATGCTGGCCAGTATGTAAAGGAGAGTTTATGTGCTCAGAATTCTGGAGGCTGGTCAGTGTAAATGGTAGGTGCTGCTGCCTGGCTCTGTCACATCGTGGCACTGAACAGCAAGGGAATGAGCCACCATTTGAGCCAGAGGCCAAGGGGCCAGGCTCACTCCTGTGATGACCACCCTCTGGGAATTCACCAGGCCAGGGAGACCTGGCCATTCCCACAAGACATTGGGCCTCCACTGGTGGGGGCAGCGCACCATGATCTGGTCACCTGCCCCTGGTGCCACCTCCCAGAGGTGCCGCCACCTCATCACTGTCACTTAGGGGCCATGCTTCCAGTGTGGACCTATGGGAACAAGCCACAGGACAGAGGGCCCAGAATTCCACTGCTTTGTGCTCCTGGCATTTTGTGTGTCTACGCGGTGCGGAGTGTGCGTCCTGGCGACCGCAGGCTGTGGTGGTCTGGGTGGGGAGGCCTGCTGTGTCCCACGTGGCTCTGTCCCGTGGTGTAGTCTGAGATGAGTGGCCTGTGTTTACTTGCCATCTGTGTCTGGACATTGGCTGGCTCTTGATGTCCTGGTGTCCATCTTTGTAGGCAGCTGACCTTGCTCCTGGAGCTGTACAGCCCCCGGGATGTCTACGACTACCTGCGTCCTATAGCCCTGAGTCTGTGCGCGGACAAGGTCTCCTCGGTCCGCTGGATCTCCTACAAGCTGGTGGGTGCACGCCCTGGCTTCCTGGCAGATTCCGCTCCCCGGCTCTCAGCAGAGGCTGGCCTCACTGTCCGTGCTTCCTGCAGGTCAGCGAGATGGTGAAGAAGCTGCATATGGCCACACCCCCGACCTTCGGCGTGGACCTCATCAATGAGCTGGTGGAGAATTTTGGCAGGTGCCCCAAGTGGTCTGGGCGACAAGCCTTTGTCTTCGTCTGCCAGGTGAGCAGGCCCAGGGGTGCCCCTGGGGATCGGCCTGGCGCCCTAGCTGGCCACCCCCATCTTCCTCACCCCTGCCTCCTCACTGCTGGGGACAGAGCCCACCAGTGGCCTCTATGTGGCTCCTGGTCTCCGCCAGTCCTTCCCTCCCTGCCAACTGGGCACCTTCCCTGATGATAGTACGCACGCTGTTGCGCCGTGGGCCACTCCACGTCCATGTGCTCCCACACACCCTGTGCGCCAGAGCCTGCCCCGACTCCCTCCTGTGCCCTCCTCCAGACTGTCATCGAGGACGACTGCCTCCCCATGGAGCAGTTTGCTGTGCACCTGATGCCACACTTGCTAACCCTGGCGAACGACAGGGTCCCCAACGTCCGAGTGCTGCTCGCCAAGACCCTGAGACAGACTCTGCTGGAGAAGGGTAGGTGGAGAGGGCTGGAGCGTGCAGCGGGAACAGGCTCAGGATGGCCAGGAGCCCCACGTGTATAGGAGTGCTCTGGTAGCAAGGCACGGGGCGCAGCCATAACGGGCTCCTCATTAGTGCTCTGTGCTTTTTTTTTTTTTTTTTTTTTTTTTAAATCTTGGGCACTTACCATTTTTACAGCTGAAAACAATGATGGGGGCGGGTGCTGGCATGTGGCTGTGTGCCAGTTGCTGCCTGTGCACACCGTGTGGCTGTGGGGCCAGGCTAGCTGGATGCAGTGGTGCACGCCTGTAATCCAGCAACTCAGGAGGCTGAGGCAGCAGGATGGCAAATTGTTGGAGGCCAGCTCCAGTAACTCAGGCCCTGTCTCAAAAATTAAAATTTTAAAAAAAGGGTTGAGAATGTAGCTTAGTGTAGAGCACCCCTGGGTTCAATCCCAGTACCACACATTGCACCCCGCCCCCCACACACACACATAAAAATGTAAAAGGATAAAATGGCTAGAGAAGAAGGGTTTGGCTTGGTTTTTAGAGAGAATGTATGTGTGTGTGTTGGGGGGGGGCGTGTTGGCAGTGTTTTAATAGCTAAAAAGCAGTTTTTTGGGCGGTGGGGGAGGGAATTGAACTCAAGGGCACTTGACCCCTGAGCCACCTCCCCAGCCCTATTTTGGATTTGATTTAGAGAAGGTCTCACTGAGTTGTTTAGGGCCTCACTTTTGCTAAGGTTGGCTTTGAACTTGAGATCCTCCTGCGTCAGCCTCCTGAGCTGCTGGGATTACAAAGAGTATATTGTGTTCATGTCTTTCTTAGTTTTCATATTCCTTAGCTGTTCTTTTTCTCCTTTTTTCCCTAATTTGTTGTCATTAGTCATAACCGGCAGTAGACTGCATTTTGACACATTGTACGTACATGGAGTATAGCTTCTCCTTCTTGTGGTGGAACATGCTATAGAGTCTCACAGGTCATGTGGTCAGTGTGAACACAGGTGCCAATGTCTGATTCACTCTGCTGTCCTTCCTACCCCTGGACCCCCTCCCTTCAGTTCTCTCTGCCCCATCCTCCCCAGCTGCTCTAAATGAGATGCCCCATGTCATAAGGACATGTGAGTGCCGTGCGTGACCGGGCACGGCCTGTGCGACACTGGTAGGCAGGCCCTGTTGGTGGTAGCTGGACTTCCTCCTTGCTGATGGTGGCTCACGATGCCCGCCTGTCCTTGCAGAGTACTTCCTGGCCTCTGCCAGCTGCTACCAGGAAGCGGTGGAGCAGACCATCATGGCCCTGCAGATGGACCAGGACAGCGACGTCAAGTACTTTGCCAGCACCCACCCTGCCACTACCAAAGTCTCCCAAGATGCCGCGAGCACAGCCTCCTCGACCTACTAGGTGCCCGAGTCCTCCTGCCTCCCCGAGGCTGCGCCCTGGGCGGGGCAGAGGGAGGGAGGATGGACCCTCCCCTTGCAGACTCCACCGCAGGCGCCTGGCCCACACCGAGAGCAGGGTGAGTCAAGAGCAGTCCAGTAGACACGACTATCTTGACTTCAAGGGAAGTAACTTCTCAGAGGATTATAACTGTCACCGAAGCCTTAACTCCTTCGTCTTCCTGACTGACGACACTTGAACCACAGGCATCTCCCCTGTGGCCGGGACTGGCTCCCCCAGAGCTGCGCTGCTCTCTCCCTGGTCACTGAGATCCTCGGAGCCAGAGGCCACGCGCATCCAGGCGGAAGACCTTCAGCATTGCTGTCTGCCGCTGGGCCAAGAGTCCCGCTGGGCGCAGGAGGAGGAGGCTGTGGGCGGGTCTCCCGAGGGCTGAGGCTGACACTGCAGTGGAGTCTGATTTTAACTCAGATGCAGCATATTGCTGTGCACACTTACAGACGTTTGCTGATGTCTCTGTCCTGGAGTTTCTCATGCTGGTCATGACTGAAGGAGATTTCTTAGCACGCATATTGTTACGTCGGGGTTTTTAACTTGATCATGGTCAGCTCCGAGGGGCGACTTTTCTTCACATGCTGTACATACCTGTGACCACTCTTGGGAGTGCTGCAGTCTTAATCATGCTGTTGGAACTGTCGAGGCACAAGTTTCTTGTCCAAATAAAGTTTATTAATAAGATCTATACAGAGAGGCGTTTACACTTTGGATTGTTTTCTAGATATCTACAAATAAATGCAATTTGTGACCTGTATTAATGATTTAGTATAAATGGGGAAACTAGATTAAAATATTGGTCTTTAAAATAGCGCGGTGGTCTGTCTGGACTCTGCCTGTGTTGTCTGCTCGAGTGTCCTCTTGGCAGAGGCCAGGCCTCCTGAGCTTCCCTCCGCAGCCTCAGGTGACCAGAACAGGATGCTAACCCGGGCGTCTCGGCCTCGTCTATAAAGTAGGGTCAGTACCTGCCCTTCCCACAGGAGGCCATCAGAGGTGCTTCTAGAAGGTGCCGTGTATATACCTGGCGTCCCCCGAGCCCAGGGTGAAAGCCCAGCACTCCCTGGTAGTAGTGCTGCTTACGCACGGTGGGGACTCCAGGAAGTGGACCCTGGGTGGGGTGGGGAGGTACTGGCTGCCTCCTGTGTGACCAGCCTTGGTTTGTTCTTGCATCATGGGCCTTGGGGTGGGGGGCGTCCAGGCGAATGCCAACCAACAGATGGGTCCCACTGGGTCCCAGGGCGGGCGTCAGAGCAAGAGCGCAGTGGGGCCTCCCAATGTCCCTTAGCCGAGATCCGAGGTGCGGGCTTCCTGCTATTCCCACCGTGATGCCCTCTTCCCTCAGGACTCGGCCCTGTGCACTGCACTGTGTCCTGCACAGCTGCCTTTTAGAAGGTGGCAGTGGGGACGTGCTCTTGTGTGGAGAGCTCATGCCTGGGGTGTCTGAGTGCCCAGGCCGGTTCTCTAGCTTGGTGCTGCTGCCCTCCAGTCCCCTCTTGGTTTCCTCGTGTGACCTCAGTTCCCACGTGAGTGGACACAGGCACCGCATCATTTAGCAGCTCCCATCAGCGCGTCCCAGGTTCTCCCATGCTGGGCCAGCTGATGAGCCCCTCTCTGGCCTCCCCTCGTCTGCTGGTGGCTGTGGTGTGCATGGTGAGCTGAGGGATGGCCTTCCTTCACGAAGGGGCGCTGGGTCCTGTCCACTGTGCAGCCCTCACTGCACAGGCTCTACTGAGAGAGAAAACTGGGCAGAGAGGGGACCTGTGTCCAGAGCTCATGAAATCTCCATCCAGGATGCAGAAAAACCAGCAAACATAAAAAGGTGACATTCCCATAACAGTTGTCTGCGCTGGCATGGTGGCCACACCTGTCATCACAGCCACTTGGCCACACTTGTCATCACAGCCACTTGGCCACACTTGTCATCACAGCCACTTGGCCAAGGCAGGAGAGCGAATTGTAGGCCAGTCTGGGCAGCCTAGTCAGCCCCTGTCTCAAATACGGGCTGGGTGGTAGCTCAGTGGTAAAGGGCCCGGGGTTCTCTCCCCAGTACCAAGGACAACAAACATAGCATGTAGTCCCGGGCACAGTGGCCCACGCCTGTCACCCCAGGACTTGGGAGGCTGAGGCAGGAACATGGCAAGTTCAAAGCCAGCCTCAGCAACAGTGAGGCCTAAGCAACTCAGTGAGGGCCTGTCTCTAAATCAAATCCAAAACAGGGCTGGGGTGTAGGGGTCGAGGGCTCTGGGTTTAATCTCTGGGTCACCCCCACCCCCCCAAAAAAAAACCCAGCATGTAAATAATACAGATGGGAATGAATGCGTAATAGGGTCTAATGCGGGAGCTAATCTGAGACCGTCCTGAGCCACTGGGGGCTTTTGAGAAACTCTGGGGATGGAGAGGACAGCCACATCTTTCAGTCCCCCAGGAACTGGTGTGACTGCAGTTTCCCACCCCCAGCCTCCCCTGGCAGCACCCGCCTGCCCTCCCCTTGTTTGGGAGGAGGAAGTGTGTCCACCTGGACGGGTTCCCTGTGGCCCTTGCCGACTCCCCAGGAAGCCAGGCTACCTGCTCGGCTGCTTGAGGGGCACGTGAGCTATGTCCTGAAGTCCCAGCGGTTCTTCTAGAACCCTCTGACTCTCAGGGTCAGCCACGCCTGAGTGGTACAGTGGTCAGTGTGCCTGCCTCTGGCAGGGATGCCTGCCTCGGGGGTCTGCAGCCACGGGGCAGGGACGCCTCCTTGGGGCTTGTCATCCTCTCTGGACATTGGTGTGACAACTGCTCCCTTCTCTTGGTTGACATTGGGCCAGTCTATGTCCAGGGGAGCGGGTTGTGCCTGGCCTGGGAAGGTCGGGGCAAAAGTCCCCAAACAGTTCAGGGGCTGCATGTTCATCAAGACTGTGCTGACCGCTGAGGAGAGATAACACGGGCAGGCCCAGCCCCTGGTGCGCAGGGCTGCTTCTGTGGACAGTTCAGGATGGAACTGATGATGAGGCAAGGGAGGAAAAGAGCAACTCCAAGCTCAACGTGGGTTTGGGGGTGGCTTCTCAGTGAGCCACCTCTTAATTCTTTTTGATGATTTTTAGTTGTAGATGGACATAGCACCTTTATTTAGCTAGTTTTATGTAGTGCTAAGAATGGAACCCAGTGCCACACACTGGGCCACTACCCCAGCCCCCTTTCTTAATTTTGAGACGGGGTCTCACTGAGTTGCTGAGGCTGGCCTTGAACTTGAGATCCCCCTTCCTTGGCCTCAGAATCACTGGGATCCCAGGTGTGCGACACCCACCCCCAGCTTCAGTCAGTTCCTGTGCTGTGTGACTGTTCCACACTGGATGTCAGTAATTGTCACTAATTGGCTGCCAGGCAGCTGCGAGTAGCATTTTGACCTGTTCATGAGAAAATAGGGCACAGTTCACAGTTCTTAACAGAGATCCTCGAGTCAGACTTGTCCCCAGCAGATGCCAACACAGTGCAGGGCATCCACATGACAGGTCACCCCTAGGAAGGGCGACGTGGTGAGCAGGCTCAGGCCCAGAACCCGCCCCACGCCCTCCTCGGGGGCCCTCCAGGGGGCAGACACCCAGGACGGCCTAGCTGAGCCTGCAGGGTCACCAGCCTCGCCTCCCAGCCTCCTCTCCAGAGCAGACGGCGCCTGCTGTGCAGCCTCTCTTCACCCTAAGGCCTGACCACAAGCGGTCATGTGGGGCAAGGGTTTTAAAAGTCCCTACGAGGGAAGCAGAGTTGGCTGGGCTTTCCAGAAAGGTAGCCTTTCAAAGAGGAGGCCCTGGCCCTCTCCGCTTATAGCTGGCATTCAGTCATCCCTGTCCATCTCCCTGCTCTGACCTCATGGCTAATGGTGACTGCAGAGATGGCCATGGCCCATGGCAGGCCATCAGTGTCCCTGCCATGCTGTCCTGGGTGCGGCTGACAAATGAACCATCATCTTGTTCTCTCTGACTGGCTCTGAGACATTGTGATACAGTGATAAGTCAGACATCTCATCTCGCAGGGGACGACTTGAGGATAATGCCGACAACCTGCGCTGGGGACACACGTGTACACCTCTGCCCTGTTAAACAGCTGGGGAGGTTGTGAAGGGTGGGCACATGGTTCCCGTAAGGCCCAGGCTCTGCCGTACACGCGGCCCTTCTCTGGAAGCCATTTGCTGGCAGAAGACTGCCCACAGCTCAGTGCCTCTTAGCAGCACTGCCAAGTGTCGGCTCAGCCACCCAAGTCAAGCACTGTGGGAGCCAAGAGGGGCGGGACGGATGCCTGGGGCCTGTGGGCACAGCAAATTCAGGGACGCCAGAGGACGCAATAGACAGCAGATGTGACTTTGATACTGTGGATACACCTGATGCTCCTCCAGCCTCTGCTGTACTAGAAAACCTTCTTTTGTGTCATGCTAATGTAACAGCGAAGTCCCCAAACTAAAGAGGGAGAAGCCATCAAGTTGCAGGCGTGTGGGGGAGGGAGGAATACAGCAGCAGCTCTGTCTTTATGCTCCACTAAAGGAGCCGTGGACAAGACTTAAGGACTCCTTCAGGTCCCTTCCTGGCACTTCACAGAAGTTTCTCATCATACGTGCTGGGACAATGTCCATCTACTTTGTTTTGAAGTCTTTGCTTTCTCTTTTTCTTTGCTTTGAAGTCTCTGCTGCCTGGTCAGCCTGGCTACGCTCCAAAGGTGGGTTTGCTTTTAAGGTATTCTAGTATTCATTGTACCTGGTGCTGATTCAATAAAGACTGTCAAATAAAAAGAAATGTATTCTACAGCAGAGAAGAAGTTGCAGTGAAAAAAAAGTCACACAGGCACTAGGTCCCATCTTGGAATGCTATACGCAGAGCTTAACGGGTGATTCCGGTGGAAGCTCAGAAATTAGAATGCCAACAGGACTATGGACAGTAAAGACTGGGCTCATGAGGTTTCAGAGGAGGACAGCTCTATTATGTTCTAGCAAAGAAGTTGTCAACATTTTGTGTCCAACTTTCTGTGAGATTGAATTTAAAAGTGATGGACTGACACGTGGTGGCACATACCTGTCATCCCAGTGGCTCAGGAGGCTGAGGCAGGAAGATCGCAAATTCAAAGCCAGCCCCAGAAACTTAGCAGGGCCCTAAGCAAGTTAGCAAGAACCTGTCTCTAAATGGAAAAAAAAAAAAAAAAAAAAAAGGTTGGAGATGTGGTTAGGTGATTGGATGCCCCTGGGTTCAATCCTTGGTATTAAAAAAAAAAGTGATGAACTAACAGAGGAAATTTCAAGGTAGCTCAGCATTCAGGGGGTGGCTTGGATATTGCTGGTGACTTTTAACCATGTTTACTGCAGTCATCAGGAGCAGAAGGGTTTTAGAAACTTGCAGTTTGACCAGAAAAGTGCAAGTAAAATTGGGCTGAGGAAGATGTAGTTGTTATGGTCATTAGAGGGGTTACAGAGAAGCTGAGCACTTCACCCAGAAACATCAGGCAGAAAGTGGCAAGACCACATCCACCTCAGGCTCAAAGGTGTGAAAGTAAAAGTTCCTTTGAGAAAAGACCAGCGGGGTGCCCTGCTTGCAGAGCAGCTAGGAAAGTGTCTCACAATGCTCAGCCACCAGGTGCTCAGGCACTGCAGCTGGGTCCCGGCTACTGCTCCACACAGCAGCATGTGGCCTCAACCATGTGGCTGTTTCTGCAAGAAAACAGGGTGCTGGATGCAGGGGTCCTGGAGGCTCCCACCAAGCTTCAGAGGAAGGCCTGGGGCCAGGCAGGGCACAGAGG